TTATCTGAATATATATATATATATATATATATATATATAAATGTTCTTTTGGAATTTTAATTCATAAAAGAATCATGAAAAAATGTTTTGCATAAAATATTAGGCAACAAATATTTTTTTGAACATTCATAATAATAAGCAGCATTAATAATTTTTGAGCACTAAATCGGCATATTAGAATGATTTCTGAAGAATCATGTCACAATGAAGATTTGCAATGACAGGAATAAATTATATTTATCATTTAAATTATATATAATTTATTCCTTTGATCTCTTGGTCTGCTCACCAAAGCTGCATTTATTTTATCAGTAAAACAGTAACATTGTGATTGTGTAAATGATCATTAAGATTTTATGTTATTCCAATATATATATATATATATGCTCACATATATACACATGTGTATATAAATTTACTCTTTCGGTTCTTCTTATTTGCTGTGTAAACAAACCACAACCAAAAAGGAATTACACCTAATTCTGATTCTTTGAGTTTCTCAAAGCAAGTTCACCTATTTCAAAGCCTGAGGCTAAGAAGTCACATGAAAACATTCACTTGTTTACACATGCAAAGACGAACAAGGAATCTGTTAAAAATTAAAAAGCGTAATCATGTATGATTTATCATAATCCCCCAGTAACCCCTTTAAATCTTTATACACAAGTTTTATCAGCAGACATCATGTTCATCTCTAGACTGATGATGCATCTTACAGTAATTAATTCACTTTCAAACAGACTCTTAGTACATGGATTTTAAGCTCCTCTCTTATAGCAGAGGAATACACAAACCCCTCTTCTGCTCCACTTTGGTAGGTGAGGCTGTTTGGTTCCCAAACAGCACGTTTTTTGTATTCTTTCACTTCTTCACATTTAGAAACTTTTTCCTGGCAACATCTCAATCCACACATGATATTAACTGATATCAGGCAGAACACTTGTTTTTTCAATGCACTTGCCGTTAAAAGAGACATCCTATTTACATTCTCCTCAGTTGTTGCATATTTCTCACTATCGAAATGTCTGTTAGCTCAATGCATCACCCGGAGCATGGGTTATATTACTCTTTCTTATTGCCATATGGTTTGTATATTTTGTACACATGCTTTGTTTCCCAAAAGTGCTTGTCAAACAATAGCTCTATTCCTGTCTCATGTTGCTCCAGTTTGCCAGTGAAAACTAAATAAATGGATATTGCAAACAACTGAGAACAAGAGGTCCTAAAAACCTCATTCACTTTGCTGCAATGGTGAGCTCACATGCCCATTTATGCAGGTCTAATACAAAAGAAGAAAGACTAAATGCAGCCCGTCAGTGTTTGGAAAGCCAAAGTCATTAATTGAAATTGAATTCAACAGATATACTAATGTAAAAAGCTCACATAAACCACAGGGTTGATGATTTTCTGGCACAACTGAGATAATTAGACTTGTATGAGAAGATAGATATATTGCTTTATTAATTCCAGCAGATTTAGACTTTTAGAATTTCATTTGCAGGCCAAAATAGTATGTTTTGATTGTGAATATTACACTTTGTTGTTGTTGTTGGGAATTTGAGACATTCTGGGAAGTAGATATAAGCAGATATATGATATAATAAATGGGCCACTGAAAATCTGACTCATAAAATTACAGAAGATTGCAGTAGGCTACTTATTTAAGTTCATGCTGTGTTTAAACCATTAAAAATTGCCATCATGCTCTCTGTTCTGTACTTCCGGCTTCTCCTGTCAGGTTATTGTAGAAAGGACAAATGAGATTGATAAAACAATGGCAACTGTGACCCAGAGACTAAATGAAATCAGGGTATTCGACTCAGTATCTCACAGTATCTCACAGCTAATAGACGTTTCCTGGTGCCTGGTATCCTTGAGACTATACACTCTAAAAAATGCTGGGTTAAATACAACCCAGTGCTGGGTAAAATAGGGACAAACCCAGCAACTGGGTTGTTTTGACCCAGCAGTTGGGTTACTACCCAGAACGTTGGGTTAAACATTTAACCAAACCGCTGGGTCAAAACAACCCAATTGCTGGGTTTGTCCCTATTTTACCCAGCACTGGGTTGTATTTAACCCAGCATTTTTTAGAGTGTAGTGCACTTATAAAGGGAATGAGAGCATATCAGTGCTGAGTGCATTTTAAAGGATCCTGAGAGAAATGAACCCTTCAGATATTATTTTTCAAGAGTAAATTCATAGAAAAAATATTTTTTGAAGAACTCATGCCTGCATGGCTATTTCGACACATAAACATCAGTCTTGTGACAGTGCTTATTAGTTGCTATATTTAGCTTCTAAAAAGTTGTTCATTGTTATCATGAGCTAAGCAATCAGTTTCATTCCTGTAGCTCAACTGGTAGAATATAGGAGCCTATTAGCAATGTCAAGGTCAAGGGTTTGATTCAAAGGGACCGCATGGCTTGAGCAAAAGTGTTCAGCTGATGCACTGTAAGTTGCTTTGGATTTACAGTAAGTGTGTGCCAAATGCATAAACTAGAATCTTGAGTTTCCAATAAACGTTCAGTGTTGCGTGTCATTTCCTTGCAGCACAGTTTGCACGAGGACCCAGGTCTCATGGCCAGTATCATATATCAGTGATTATCCTGTGGCCACTTGCTCTCCTGCCTGATCACTTTGCACTGGTCTTTAATCACTATAGCAACTGTTTGAATGTGCCAAAGTGTGTAAAGTGATGCCATGTTTATATAAAGTCCAGATAGCTGAACAGCAAAAACAACATTCACAGGAGCAAGCAATGCTGCTAGTGACATTATTGGCTTTGTGACATAATTGCAGTGCCATTTTTTTCTATATTAAAATTAGTGATGACCGTATTTGAAATAGCCTACTAAGTTTTCAACATTTTCTTTTCTTTGTTTTGAATCAGTGCTTTGAAGCGCATAAACTAACTAAAATCTAACTAAAATAGCAATTAGCAAACATTTGGGGGAGGGGCCCAAACTGAGCCGATCTCGATTCCGGCTCGATTTGGTCAGCCACACATTTTACTTTTGCTATAGTAAATCTACAAATTCAAACTCTGTGTAGCTACCATATTCAAGTGATTTTACTATGATTACATAGAGCAATTAAGCGCATGAGGTTGTCATGGCAACCTGCTGCACTCCTATTTTGCTACACTAAACTTAAATTTGTTTATTAATAAACACGTTGAAAATAATGCACAATAAACATGTTTGTCAACACGATCTCAAAGGAGGATTTTATTTAGCAAATCAAAGAGTGAATTGCTCATCCACTGTTTTAAAACAGACATGTTGGACTTGATTCAAGTTAACGCACAGACACTTTTCATTTAATAAGTCTTACTGAAAAAAAATAGACGATTAAACAGTTTATCCTCTAAAATCTATTTTTAGGTTTTGTTCTTTGTAAATAACGGATGTAAATGGTCTACGTAGAACACTGGGCCGCTGAAACGGCTGCATCCTGTGGATCACCTTTATCCAGGGTTGCCAGATTTTCACAACAAAACCAAGCGGCAACCTAGAGTGACAGGTGGATTGCCGCTGCTGTCACCACCGTCGAGCTAGGTTGGCATGGCTTCAGCAACCTGCTCCAGACTCTTTGCCCATTTTCGATTATCCGGGAGTGACGAGCCGTGACGCGCTGCCAAGATGGCAACGGCCGGCTCCGCCCACTTTTGAGCTTCAAAAACGCTCTTCGGAAATCTACGGGTGACGTCACGGACACTACGTCCATGTTTTTATACAGTCTATGAACAAAACCCGCCCAATTACTACTCAAAACTAGCCGGGTTTCGAGGGGGTCCCCGTTAAAAATCGCGTTCTGGGGGGTAAAATACACGTTTTTTGGCGGGGTTTCTCTGGTAAAATTCACATACCAGGGGGGTAACTTCAACCTGCGGCAACAGTGTTTAAGTAGCAATTTCGCAGAAAAACCGCGGACCTGGCAACACTGCCTTAAATCGAACCGGATTCATTCTCCTGATGTACAGCCAAGCCATTTAAGGAGATAAAAAATGAATTAGAAATAGCGACAGAAAGCAGATTATGTTTGATGAATCTCAATGAAAAGAATAGCTGAGCTAGACATTTTCTGTTTACACAGCCGGAAAATCTTAGATCGCTGGTTATAGGCTTATCATTTGTGCGTGTGTGGATAATTGATAATGTCTGTGCTTTATTTAGAGTAAACTCTATGATTTATCATTCCGCACATAATAGTAAAGACACATTCATTGTTCACAGAATGTGAAGTAGTTTTGTCCTGAAACTGATTATAGGAAAATCTTTCTATCATAGATCACGTGTGTATGTTTAGACATTGTTTTTGTGTGGTGTGTTTAAAATCCAGATGTTTGACAATGATTATGTATTTCTTGACTCCTTTGTTGTACTTTAAAAACATACAGTGGAGTCCTGCTTCAAATCACTGTTCACCTGTGGATGATCTCTAGTGAGATCTCCATCTCTGGAACAGCACTGACTCGCTGCCAATCATCTGCGTGGTAACTGAACTCAGAGGTTCAAAAAGCTGGCACCAAATGGAGGTCGGTAATATTGGGTAATTGGTTCTGAGGTGTAAGGTAATGCCGAGTTCACACGGCACGATTTTCAAAGAAATTGCTTTCGAGGGGGTCCCCCAGTAAAAATCGTGTTCGGGGGTAAAATACAAATTCTCCTGATACAATTCACATTCCAGGGCCTAAATATCACATTATTGGGGTCCCTTCAACCTGCTGACATAAAAAGCAACCGGCGGCAATCTCAGATTTGGCAACATTGGTCCGCAAACTATGTTTCATATAACTCCTCTCCGAACTTCCCGCTGCCCTGTATCTTGGTCTCTCATTGGCTGTAGGTCATCGCCCATGTGTTTTTCAGTCAGAACTCATTTCACACAGCATGCCAAATATTTCACGGGCGTCGGCGACGTGTCGGCGATTCCCTCAGATCGCGTCTTTGATAATTCACACTGCGTGATTGTCACTCGCGTGAACGAGCACCGATTTGCCTCCGATTTCGGGCATTTGTCGGCGATTTCGCAAAACCTGTCGGAGAGTGAAAAATCGGGCTAAAATCGTGCAGTGTGAACTCGGCATAAGGGATGGAAATAGTCTTGATTACATTAAGGGGTTAATGGCTCCCAATGTGTCACTCAGTCAAAAGCTGGCAAGCAGGTACACTTGAAGAAGATCTACCACTTACAGTTTTGCTCACTGTGGTTATCATCAAAGACAACTGGATCATGAATTCATACATGGTGGATCTCAAATAAAGAAAGGGGAAATTAAAATTTAGCAAGTATCATGAATTATTTCAGAGACACTTGGGCTAGATTTATTATAAGTAGAGTGTGGTTGAATAGTTCCAGTCAAAACATTCGCACACTGTCCCAGCAGAAGGGCAAAGGGATTTTAAGAGATTAAACTTTAAATCTGGGAAGCAATTTCTTTCTCATGAGTCAAGAATCCAGACAGATGGTCATTTTATTTTTGAAAATCCATCTTCTCGATTTTTTCTGCAAGCTCCAAAAAAATCACTCACAGCATATGGTGGTTGAAATTATTAACATCTATTTATTCTATTTTTATTTGTTTTTAATTACATTTTATTTTTATTAGAATCTTTTTTAAAAACTTTTTATTGTTTATTTTATCTTAATAATCTGTTATGATTATTTTATGATTATTTTATGTAAATCACCTTGAATTACCATTGTGTATAAAAGGTGCTCTATAAAAAACAGGACTTGCCTCATAATAATAATAATAATAATAATAATAATAATTATTATTATTATTATTATTTTCAAAATCAATAATTATTATTTTTTTGTGTATAATTGCATTTTTCCTTTGGACTGATTCACCTCAGACTTGGGCAGAGTTCACTAAACCATGTCAACAAAATGTTGGCAACTCTAGAAGGTAATAAAAAATAAAAGAATTCCTTACATTAATGCTAGAGTCATCTATATTGGTAGGGAAACACATGCTGTTTCTATTTAAAAGACAGCATTTTTTTTTACTTTAGAATCAAGTCTCCTAATATATCATAAGATAATGTATTTCATTGTAAGAGTATAATAAACCTTCATAGAGTTAAATGCAAAATTTTAAAGTTTTGTCCCCAAAAACATTAGCTAGCCTATTCAAACTACTTTTTATTGCAAAACCTAACCAGTGAAAATATTCACATTCAATTGCAATTTAACAAATTAGCTCACAGAATCAAAAACAGTAAAGGAATAAAAATGAAATGAGATCACATGAAAATAAACAAACAAACAAAAAAAGATAAATAAGAAAATGCGTCTCATGAAAAGTCTTAATCTGTGACTAATATTTATTACATTGAAATTAACATTTCTAAAGTATTAAGTTTCTAACATTAGATGTTTGAATCTATGTGTAATTAATGTAAAAATGTTTAGTTTGTTTTGTGTGTGAGCCAGACTAACGCGCCCGCGTGTTGTGTGACGTCGCCTGTCACATGGCGAGCGTCAGCTCTGTTGCAGGAAGTGAAGCAGTCATGGCGACCCCTGTCGCGTTACTCTCAGAATCTGTGCTCGGATGGTCTATTTTCACCATTGTTTTACTGGTGAGATACATTAATTATCCATTATAACTTGTATTTACTAGTATTACGTTGTTGGACGCGGTATTCCCGCGTATATTCTGTCACGTATTATCCTGGTCGATGTGTATCTTATACTGCTACATATAACACACATCTAACTATTATGATTATATACGCCATATCATAAACATGTTTGTGTTTACAGCTACAGTATATTTGTAGAATTTTGCCACACTGAACTGTTTTACTATAGCACGAAGAAATAGATCCCTCCAATTTCAATAATATAGTGCAGTTCAGATTCGAGTACAAGTGCATGTATTATGAATATAAAACCGATTTTACCTACCATACTTGTATGTATTATTTTATTTTATGTCCATACTTGTATCATGGGTCATAAATATCTAATCCACAATTGGTTGTTTTATGGTTCATATAGTGTTTCATATATGAAAATATTAAAATACATTCTCTCCCAGAGTCAACCATAAATAATTGTAGGTTGATTCCCCCCAAAAATAGAAACACGGGGATTCTCTGGTACTATTACTTCATAGCTTTCTTTGTTTGAGGCCGGACTATCTGTTTGGTGACCAATGGCTGACGGGGGCAGTATTCAGGAAATGTTATTATTTTTGTAATACCATTTAGTGGTACACACTACGCACCTTTAAATATAATTTGTTTTTATTCTACCTGGTCGAGGTGTTTAATTGAAGTGCCGCCTGAGTCTTAATTTTCTAATTAAAGTGCATCCAGCTCAAGTTTAACAAGTGCAAAGAGAGCAGTATTTCCTGTTATATAATTGGCTCGGTGCATCCTGATTTAAATGCAGAGCGTTGGGTTATTATCTGACCAACAATTCAGGCAGAATCTAATACGCATAGGGCTCTTAATTGATCATGTCTGAAAACAGCATCCCGTAATCACAAGCTCATTTTAGCTGCGTCTTGAGAGCTTATAGAGGATGTGTTTGAAATATGACCTTTCACTCTGAAACAAGTTCTTCTTTAAAGTTGGACTCTATTAGGGTTTTTTTTGTATTGTTTTGTTTTATTTTGTTTTTAATGAGGTACGTAATGCTTTTCAGAGACAGCTGTCTCAGAGGCTCCTAAATCTGTAGGTCTTTCTTCTTCTTTCTAAGAGAGGAGCTATTGGCTGCGAGGCCAGAAGTGCAATACAGAATCACATTTTGAGTTATCTAAATAGCACTTGTAAGGCTTGTATGGCCTTTAAAGTGAGTTTGTGTTATGAGAAGGCCAGCTGTCTGTTATAACACTCATCGGTTTGACACCATAGAGATTTAGGCCGGTTAAAACAGTGCCACAAAACTTTAACACAATCATTACAAATGATCACACATATCAGGCCTCTTGTACCTTTTTAAATAACACTTAAATAAACCAGCATTTTTTTTGTATGTTTATGATTATGAGCAGGGCTTGAGTACATATTCACATATGGGTTAGTTATGTCTATCTATCTATCTATCTATCTATCTATCTATCTATCTATCTATGTGAGTTTGTTTTGATTATATGAATGAAGAGAAATGTATTTTGAAGTTATAATATTTTTTTTAGTATACTTTATTGATGACGGTCTTAATAAATGATAAATAAATGATACATTTATGCCTAGATGATATCCTTACCTGCTCTCTGGTCCAACTCATATGTTAAAAATGAAATGAAAATAAATAAATAAATAATAAACAAACAAATAAATAGTATTTGTTTTGTAAAGACATTTGTACATAGACAGAATTTATATTTGTCTACAAAACTAATTTCAAGCATTTAACCATTAGCCTTTAGGTTCAGAAATCATGGTACTGGTGGTATTGTACATAACATTAATTTAAATGGATTGTTTTGATGCAATTCCCATATTGTCCCCATGTATCTTCAGGTCATCGTGGCCTTCTGCTGGATTTATATTCGGAAATATCAGAGCCGGCAGGAGAGTGAGGTAATCTCCACCATCACTGCGATATGCGCTCTGGCCATTGCGCTCATCACGTCGGCTCTTCTTCCTGTTGATATCTTCCTAGTGTCCTTCATGAAATACCCCAATGGCACTTACAAGGTAACCATAATCCTGTACAGAAAGGTTGTTCAATGAAAACTCTAGCTCTGTAGCTCCAGTATCCATGCTCTCATTTATTGTTAATTTTTTCATTGTTCAAAATCAAAGTAATCATATGAAATGAGATCTCTGCACAATAAGTGATTTGGATGTCTGCCATTAAATGTATTGCTATTTGTAGTTTACTGACACCACTTGTGGATACAATGGCATTTCCTTTCTAAAACATCCCATTATTCAATCAAATGCAATAAGAAGAGAGATCAGTACTTCATGTTTGAGTTCACAGGCTGAATTGAGCACATCTTTCTTTTACGCTGAGACTCAAATGGTCTAATGAGGCAGTGGTTACTATGGCAACTAAATGGCATAATTAATGAAACCATGGGCCCAACATTCTTCCTTACGGATAATGAATAATTAAGCATAGCATTACCTCCTCTGACATGAGATCTTTAATGAGTGCTTCACTTAGAACTTCTGTGTAACTTGGTTCCTCCTTGCATACAATGAAAGCGCATTATGAACCGAGCATGTCAAGTTGTAAAATGGAAAAAAAGTACCCTCAAAAGTAATTTAGACAACTTTTGCAAGTCTTCTGAAATCAAACAATAGCTTCGTGTCTGACAGACTGAAATTTAAGCTGTTATTCACTGATAATTTTGCCTTTTTCTGTAGCTCTCAAATCTAATTTGCACTTCCACATATTCAAACTTCGGCAACATATTAGAACCAATAGCAATTTGGAAATGTGCACAAATTAGATATTCTAGCTATGATGGAACTCAAACAATTCTGTAGTATGGCTTTATATGCACTTCTTTTAAGATGCCTTTTTCCCATCTGAATTACAACAGTATCTGCTTTTCACTTTCTTCTATAGGAAAAGCACCTCTGCATAATATCTTCTCAGAAACATCCCTCAGAAATTGAAAGTCATAAGTAGTGCTGGGTGGTATACTGCGCTGAATGAGACAAAAAAGTAATATAGCCAAAACAACCGCATAGCCGCTCTTTAGTGTAGATGCATGTTGATTTTATCAGACGATGCCGCGATTATAAATGAGAGTGACTCCTTGTTAACATGTATTAAAAGGGGTCGTGTTTAGTCACTATTTAGTGTGGTATTTTTTGACAATATTCACTCATCATGACAGTAAAATAGGGCATTCTAAGACGATATACTGCAGTATTTCCTCTCTCAATCAGTAGAAAATATGGTTAACACCCGGTCATGCATGAAAAAAAAATACACCGTCATGTACCGTGAAACCGGTATAATTTTGAAAAATACCGTGATATAAATTTTTGGTCATACCGCCCAGCACTAGTCATAAGGCTTTACAACATCTTGAGGTTCAAGAAATGTATTATACTCTATTTTACATCTACTACCGTATTTAAATTTTTGGGTGAACTGTCCCTTTAATTGGAGAGCAAGGGCCTGAGACTTTTAATTCCAGTGTTTGTATTTGATTACATTACATTACAGCACCATGGACTTATGGATGTATTTGCAAAACACATGGGATGTTGAATAGATTTGGGCCAGACGAGGTTATTTCCATTGTTTAATAGTCAAACATGTTTTGACTAACAACAGTTGTCCGCCGAAACGGTTGATCTATAAATAAATACATTTGAAATATCACAGAACACACCGGCAGCATATTCACCAGGCAGTGTAAATCACTACTCAATTGTGTGTTGTCCAGAATAAATTGAGATCGACAGACAGTGCTGGCCTGGTTTTCATTTGAGATAATGATCAGCCCTAGGATTGTTAAAAAGGGCTTGTAGAGGTCAAGACCAGATATTACTTTATCAGAATTAGACGAGATTCATTACTGGTTTCATTTCGTTAATTGGAAGTTGAGGGTTTTGAAGTGTTCTGAAGAAGACAGACTTGCTCGATCATATCAGAGATCATCTGACTAGGCGAAGGAGGTTAACCTAAAGAGATTCTCAGTGACTCTATCGGGTTAATTAGATCTCTGATGAAGCGGCGGATCTTTCTGTACCACCCTTCCTCAAAACACTTTAACTTTCAATTAGGCATGGGCTGGTATGAGATTTTGACGGTATGATAACCTTAAGCAAAAATTTCACGGTATCAAGGTATTGTTGTTACAGCTCTAAAATGTGATTTTTTAAAAATGTCTGGGTAAAAAAAACAACAACTTTTCCACTGACCACAATATATTTTATTTTTGAGGAACATACAGAATATTTGGAACAGTAGTATTTGTTTATTTTTTACTTTGATTTGTTTCTGAAATGTTTGCTGAATTGTGGGCTGTCCTGCAGCTTTTGATGTGGATGGTTGATTTGCTGCTAGAGCTACTGCTGTCCTAAAAAGAAGAAAAATAAAGACTGATCTTTATTGAACCTAAATCTGTAATTACAGTTATTTAATTTTAATTATATAATTCATATACATATAATTTATATAATTTCATATAATTTAGTTATATAAATTCATACACATAATTTGATTTAATAATAACCCTATTTGAAGCAAAAACAGAATGTTCTGACTAGCTTTGTGAAATTATACTGCATGCCTGAATGAAACAAACAGCAGAAGCTCTGAATGAGACGCAGATTTACTCTCTGACAGCAGGAGGCGCTCATGGAACACCAGATACGGCGTTTCCTTGGTTACCGCTGTATACAAAGCAGCGCTGCGCTATATAAATATTTAGGATTTTCTTCCAATAGTTCGTTCATCATGAACAGTGAGTGATCTGCCTGCTACATTATTTTTTCTCTTTGCGTCCGTCCTCAGCGTCTCAGGCCTCTGTTAACGGGCTTTACAGACTTCATATTTTCACATAAATGACATTTTGGAAAATGATTGCATTGCAACGCAGTTTGTGCAAGTCCAGAACAGAGACGAGCTGCAATAAGACAAAAAAACGGCCGTTTGCGGATCGCGTAAGTTCCAGGTGAAGCTCTTTCGGCCGTCATACACACACATGACTGACTGCTCGCACCAGCAGGAGGGGGAGGGGTCGTGTTACTCTCACTCAACCTGAGGGATTCCTATACTTTCAGTCTTTGCGGAGACATGAAAAATAGCGCATACTGCAGGAACGGTATAATGGAAAATGTTAGCGGTTTTGTAACCGTGAAATTTTCAAACCGTGGTATACCTTGAAACCGGTAATCGGCCCATGCCTACTTTCAATAGATATCTTAAGTCATAGAGCACTGTAGTGTAATGTAGTGAAAAGATCAGCACTAGAGGTTAATGGGAATGAAGCATTTCAACCATTTCATTCTTACCTTTTATAGTCTGAAAAGTCCATTCAGGAATAACTTGATGGTACTTGATAATATGAGGTTTTGTAAACGGGTCGTGTGTTGCGTTCGTCCAATCAATAACACTGACACCGCAAATATGCAGATAACGTAAATATTAAGAAATGTGCAGTGTGAAACGTCATCTTATGAATACCCAGGATTAATTGTTAAGCCCGGGTTAATTATGAGTAGTGTGAATTGAAACATAAATCAAGATAGCCTAGGATTCTATTTACCTAGAGTATAGAATTACCCAGGGTTAACTATTTCAAGTTTTAAAGCAATTTATAGCAGTTCAGAAATATCAAATTTTTTAGGGTTATTACTGGTGTTTGCTAAGGTGAACTATTGCTTACATTGAGTTTTACAAGGATTAAACTTCATTTGTGTAACGAACATAATATCTCAAATTGTGTGGCTTGTTGAGTAGGGTTGTATTTTATTTATCTAAGTGATCAACAGATTTACATAGAAGTATGGGGTTAGAATTGTTGCATATTTCCAGATTAGATCATTAAATAGATTTTGAGCCACATATAAATGTAAAGAGATTCAGAAATATTAAACAAATTCACAAAAATGAGATCCACTAATATAAACAGGAGTTTCACAAAAATGAATTAAATTAACAAATAAATAATTTACAAATAAAAAGTATCCTCAAATATTTTGTGTCTCAACCGTAACTTTCCATGGCAACTTTGCCTAAATTCATTTTTGTGAAACTCCTGTATATATTTGTGGATTTCATTCTTTATTTTGAATTTGTTTAACATGGGTGAATCTCTTTACATTTCTTTGCGGCTCACAATCTATTTATCTGGAAATAAGCAAAAATTCGGACCCCATACCCGAGCTATATAGGCTCAATTATATGCCAGAAATGTGAAGTTTTACTGTCGACTTGTATAAGACTCGTTTGCCCTTGTTATTGTCACGGAAAGCCAGGTGCAAAAATTGGCCAGACTCTCTCTCGTTGTCACGGAAACACCTGCCTCACCAGCCGAATCAACCTCCTACACCCGCTCACAATCACCTGATTACTGATCACGGACACCTGCACCCACTTACCACACCACTCAAATACTCACTCACCGCATTCACTCATCGACTGGTCTCGAGGTTACAAGCCTCTCAACTCTGGTTCCTCCTGCCTGCCTGCCTAAAGCCTAGGATTCCTCTGCTATCGACCATGGAACTTGTACTCTACTACAGATAAGACTGTGTTCTCAGCTTCCAGATATCCTAATTTGATTCCTTTCTGTTGGAAGCATTTTCTCCGTTGTGTTTAATAAACCCTAATCCTTTGAATTACTCTGCCTGTTTGCCTCCTTGTCCCGAGTGTGACAGTTATAGAGTGCAGAAAAGTATTTATTGTAACTGTTCTAGGAAGATTACAGCAGATTCCGATGAAATACGCTCACCCAAATGGGTGGGAAAATGTCGCTTGATAATCGTTCTGAAGCTCGCTGTGATTCACGTTGCATAGTAAATTAGGCAGACAGGTGCTTTTTGTTGTAGGAAGTTGAGGTGGAAGGAGCCATCAAGTCTTGGATAAACACGTTAGATTATGGCAGCGATCTCCTTGGCTCCGGCCTTCCGGTGTGTGACGATCAAATGTATCTCTTCCTCCAGTCGAGTAAGCTGGCTTAATGGGCAGAGGAATCTTACCGACTAAACATCTTCTTAATGCAGCCTGTGCACGTAGGACTCTGTAGGTTTATTTCTGTTTCTCTGCCCTAAAGAGATTACAGCAATGATTGACAGGCCTGGGTTTGGCTAATGAGGATGCAGTCTCAAATGCTAAACTTGTAGCAGTGCTAGAGTTTTCTTGATAAATTGTTGTTAAATCAGGCTTGTTTTATTCTACAGATATTTGTTATTCTGAGGGTGTTCTTTGGAAACCCACAAAGCTGATCTGCTTAAACCAGGAGACAGATTTGTGGCACCTACAGAGGCCTCAAGAAGTATTTGGACACTTAAAAAAATATCAGTTTTGTTGACTGTGTTGACAAATTTTTAGTAAGATCCTGTCCTCCACCACTCCCCCCCCCTTTAAACAGCCAGTATGCTTCAATAAAGAAAGCATACTGGTCTTAGCATTTATTTTAAAGGCTTTATTGTAAATAAATATTTTTTTTTTGAAGGAAATTAATTTATTTCTTCCGCAAGGATGCATTAAATTGGTCAAAAGTGACAATAAAGATATTTAGAATGTTACAACAGATTTTTATTTGAGAAAAATGCTGTTCTTTTGAACTTTCTATTCATCAAAAAAATCCTGAAAAAAAAGTATCACAATTTCCACAAAAGTAGCATGATTGTCTTCAACATTGATAATTATAAGAAATGTTTCATGAGCAGCAAATCAGCATATTAGAATGATTTCTGAAGGATTATGTGACACTGAAGACTGGAGTAATGATGCTGAAAATTCAGCTTTGCATTCACAGGAATAAATTATATTTTAAAATATACTGAAATGGAAAGTGGTTATTTTGTATCATAATAATGTTTCACAAAATTACTGTTTTTACTGTATTTTTATCAAATAAATGCAGCCTTGGTATGTATAATAGACTTCTGTAAAAAACATTTAAAAATCGTACGTAAATAAACACACTACCTTACATTATGTTTATTTATTTATTTAGTTAGTTTAGATATTAACAGAAGTACCATGATGAGCAAATATAATAATTAAATTTTCAGAGTGCCTATGATTGTGGACAACTTGGAATATCAGGGAAGTTTAAAATTGTTAATTACATGCTTGGAAAACTGGAAAATTAATCAAATCTTAAAAAATGTCAGCTATTAAAGCTAGAAATTTGTCTTTGTGAGTGTGATCTTTATGAAATGATTCTCCAATAATCACAAGTAATTGGCAACATCATTGAAATTCATAGGTCAACATATATTTGTGATATTTGTGAAATATCTCATTATGTCTCGACCTGGTTAGATTCATAAAGACTGACAGCAAGTATCCAACAATGGAATTATGTTTTTCTAGTGCTGGTGTAGCAATTATGGGTTTGCTCTTTTGGCATGATGAAACAGTGAGTTATGAATGTGGGATGGAGTTCATAGAGACAGGAGTCAGAGAGAAAGAGAGAAAGGAAGAGAGAGAGTGAGTGATTTACTGCGGCAAGGCAGACAGCAATTCTCTCTGGCATTTGGATCTACTCCGAGAACCTGTGAGTCATCAAAGTGTCAGGTCACATTTTTGATGGAATATCTGACACATTGGGAATAAAAAATACACTACACCTGGAGAGCCACTTCTTTGTATCACCACTGTCCCGTGGCGCCATTTGAAGTCCTGTCATAAAAATCATGTTTTACCTCACTGTATAGAACAGTATATTTGTTGGTCATGTTTTTATCCTTTGAGATACAAATCCTGCATATTATATTATGCTGCATTGTTTGTGTATCTTATAGGACAGTCAAGTCAAGTCAAGTCACCTTTATTTATATAGCGCTTTTAACAATACAGATTGTGTCAAAGCAACTGAACAGCATTAATTAGGAAAATAGTGTCAATAATGCAAAATGACAATAGTAAACACAAATTTTTCAGTTAAAGACAGTTCATCATTGAATTCAGTGATGTCAACATCCAGCTCAGTTTAAATGGTATCTTTGCAATCAAGTCAACGGTATCGCTGGAAATTAAGTGTCCCCAACTAAGCAAGCCAGAGGCGACAGCGGCAAGGAACCAAAACTCCATCGGTGACAGAATGGAGAAAAAAACCTTGGGAGAAACCAGGCTCAGTCGGGGGGCCAGTTCTCCTCTGACCAGACGAACCAGCAGTACGGAAAAATCAATTTAAGACGTAATAAAACAGACGATGAACACTATTAACAGCAATTATTATATGATGCAATCAAACTTATAGCAAAATGTGGTAGTTCTGTATGTTGTTTCAGGGTTGGCATCAGTCAGTTTAACATATTAATGTAGTATTATTAATTGACAATATACAATTAATCATGCCACCTGATATTCATAAAGCACCTGTTTAATGATATGGCAATAAAGAACAATTTATTGATAAAAAAGCGAGTTTTTATGTCTGCCACAGTAATATATTTTAAATGATATAAAATGATAAAATGAGCAATTTAATATATTTTACAATTTATACAATTTATACGTGCTAAATGAATCAGACGTAATGTAATTAACTTGATTAAAAATATTTTTAATCAATTGACAGCCCTGTAATCTAAAGATATATAATAATGTGATTGCATGTATGTCATATTTTTCAGACATTGTTTTTTTTGTAAATCCAGGAATGGGCGGCAAGCAATGAGACCAGGCAGCAGATCGAAGACACAGTTTTGTACGGCTACTACAGTAAGTGCTAAATGACACTATTTTGGTGCAGTAAATTACATTTTCTTACTTTGCATTTTAGAAAATGTACCATTCATATTCCTTCGTCATCTGCCCTTATTGTTTGAGTTTCATTGTGGGAGCCGGCACAGTCCAGTCTGCCGCTCATCGTTAGTGTCAATTCACTCGGGTTATAAATTATGGCACGCACACGATGTGACATCGGCCTACAAAAGCTGGCAGTTAAGTCGCTGGATGGTTTTATTTGTGGAACCGTCTTGGTCCAATTAAGCTAATGTGAGTGCAGTTTTCAGCTGAATAAATCTCTTGTCTGCGTGTGTAAAAAATGCATTAGTCAGTGACCTTTTCCTTGAACAAGGTCGGAAGGACTCATGAACATGGTTGAACTCAGCTTTTTGGAACTGCATCCTCTCTTCATGACTTCATAGCGTTAAATATGTCTCAGCATGCATGCTTTAATTGAGTCCTCCATTGCTTCCACTTTAAATGATATCTTTTAGGAATGCTGGGAACTAGGACAAAGTAACATAAAATTGAGTTATGACACAGTTGCTTGATTATCATTAGACTTTGCAAACAGATGCTGTGCGGAACAGGCCGTCAGTAGTAGAGCGGCACGGCGTCTGTTGAGCAGCGCCAAATGTGCTAGAGACAAGTTGTCAGCTAATACAAACCAGCCAATCAAAACCCCTCACTTCCATAGTCAGAAAAGCATCAGAAGATTAACAGTGACAGTGCAGGTAGACACACGTCGCAAATCCCCTGTCCAGCTGTCGGCTTGTGTTCTCCAAGAACAAAACAAAGTCTGATTTTATGCTCAAAATTGATTCGATGAAGTCTATAAGATATACTTTGACAACAAAACTTTTGTTTTCAGGAGAACTTTGGAGTGATTTGTGCCAGAACATGATGCAGGGAAAATATGCTGTTTTGTTGATAATGTAAAGCATTTGCAATGTGTTTACTGCAACATTTGAAAGTGAAACAGAATATTCAGTGTGAAACATCCATTGGGATTTGATTGCCTTATGAAAGTACAAATTATTAATGGTATAAAAAAAGTATTTTATGAATGGTACTTGTTAAGGCTTAAGGCTCATGCTTATAAGTTGAACAAAGCCCTAACCATAAGTATTAAAGATTGATGTTTGACTCGGCCTGCATATTTGTGCTAAAAACATTTCAAATTATTTGGCTTGATGAGTTGTGGTGTGATTTTTCTTCTCTAGGTGTTTTTTTCTCTCTCTCTGTTCAGATGATAAAATCTTCTAAACTTGTATTGAAAGAAGAACCTGAGGTTCCAGAATGTCTTGAGACTTGAAGGTTTGATGCTTTTGACTTGGACCGATAAGCAATCAGAACCACCCAATCAGTGTGTAATGAATACTTTCGTAACTGCATAGTAACTTCCTTTTTTCATAAAATTCTATAATCTAGTTGTTTAAAGGGATGGTTCTGTTATTTTTTAAGCACATTTGTGTTGTTCCAAACCTGTATGACTTTCTTTCTTATGCGGAACACAAAATTTTTTTTTTTGATACCACCAACTTTTATTTTAAGTACAAAACATTTGAAAACATTCTTCAAAATATGTTGTTTTGTGTTCCTCCGAAGAAAGAAAGTCACTTTACTTTTAATATAATTCGTTTCATCCACACGGCCTTGGTTATGTCAGCAAAACAGAAAAGTGAGATGCAGAGAAAGTTTGCGTTTTTAAGAAAGTCATTAAGACTATAAAAACAACTGTTTTTGTTCCTTTCAGAATAATGTAGTGATGAATTGTGCACAATTAGACATTCATTAAAACGGGATCCTTGGGCTGAAAACGTTTTCCTTTCGTGGTTTAAAATGATCTGGTCACAGAGATGCTGGAAACATAACCATGTCTCTTGTGCAAAAATCTTTTTCTTTCTGCTTTTTACTGTATTATTTTCACTGCAATGCATTGATTATAAAATGTAGGCCTATAGTTTATGAAGATTAATTAAATAATTCATATAAAACAAAGCAATTGCCTGCTGGTGGTACACTGTGGGTTAAGAACTTTTTTCTTTTTGAAAACGATAAAACAGATGTGATTCTACTGGTAGACAGTGAGATTATGAATTCCAGAATGAAAGTTGATAAACTGTGCTTTATTAAGACAAATTCCACAGAACACCAGTTCAGACTGTATTTTTAAACCCACGACTTCCACATCTTGTGTTGTTTAACACTATTCTTATGATGTTCTCCTCATGCTTTGTTTCTTGTGTTCTTCTTTTTTTTGCTGTGGCATCCACAAAACGTCTGATTGCTTTATTTCTGGGTTTTCTGGAAGATCAGGGGTTGTACCATGCTGACTCTGCTCAAAGAGACACCAGAATGCTGCATTTGTACTTCTAAAAGAAAATGAAATTTGAAAAGAAACGTCGTACTGGTGTGTTGTGTGGTCCTCTGTTCAGGCATCATGCGTGGAGGTGGGATAGAGTGATGAAAAAGCGAGATACGGGGACTTTGAGTTTCTTAAGGAGATTGAGGATGGGGAGAGATGGCCGTCTGATGACGTGTGTGATTATGACTAACACAGCCTCAGCTGCAGAACGATCTGTTCACTTGAAAAATGGTTATAGAGTGCAAATACGTAAGCATAGACTTTGAAGACCTGTGTGTGGAAGGGGTTTGAGTAGATGAGAATGCTGTAGAGTTATAGGTGCTGGATATGAGTCATTCAATAAACAGGTGTTTGAACAGTGACTTCTAAAGTAAGTTTCTTTAAGATGTGTTCTTTAATACTTTTATCTAGAACATCTAAAAATATATATATTTAAGTTCTTCTAAATTGCTTTGTCCCATCTTAAGATGGGAATGAAAACGACATCAATATGAAAAGACATCAATATGCTGAAAAAATTATGAATATGTAATTCTTGATGAATTCTATCAGCTTATAGCACATTTTGAATGTCATCTCTTGAACATGGCTCATGTGAAAACTGATGATGTCATTTCCGCTTAATGATCCTATTTAAAATTAAAGTTCAGTATTTATATATTTTCAGGTAAATATGCGGTGTGATGGAGGAAGCCAGCATTCACTGGCAGATAAATAATCTAATATTAAAAATAATAGCTGAAGTAATTTTTCTTTAATAATTGTATTTTCTTTATATCTGTATCGTATATACTGTATATATATATATATATATATATACACACACACACACACACACATATATATATATATATATATATACACACACAAACATTTATATAATAGTAATATATAGTAGTTTTATATATATATATATATATATAATAATTTATTAATTTATCTATTATAATTTATCACCCTTAAACTTGAATAGGGAAAATCATTTACATTTTTGATAATTTTTTAGCATATGCTCTTTAAAAAAAAAAAAAAGAATAAGTCTGAAATAAATTTTGAATTCATATATTTAAGGCTTGTATAGTACACAATAGCCAGTTTTGCACTTTGTTAAATGTGGACACAAATGGTATTTCTTGCATGGAATGACTCGTGTGCAGTTTTCAGTTTCCTTCTTTTTATTTTCTACATGCTACAGTCATCGAGAGCACTGGGGTTTATTCAACAGAGATTTACTGTTTGCTTTTGTATTCCTGATGACAAATGTTTGTCTTTCTTTCCGTTTGCTCTCGAGCTCATCCCGTTGTCCTCGTGGGGATGGACACAGAGAAGAACAAATGTCTCATCCAGAGAAATGCAAGCCAAGCAGGAGGAGGAATAAGAACAAATTTGAATCTTTTGCAAAAGTGTGGTGTCAACACCTCTCAAGAGCTCATCTGAGGAAAGTGCCTTTGTTCTCGGAAAAAGATGCCACACGCTGCTATTCCACCATCCGCCATTAACACTCAACCATCTGAGCATTGGGTATTTGCATTAAAATCACCTGCTGCAGTGAAATCTAATGGTAATTAAGAGATTGTCCTCAATCAATAGCTGCGTCATGCAAGCTGCTCCCGCAGTCTCTGCTTTACAGGTCATTATACTGCGATTAAGGTATGTAGATTGTTTTCTCCACGGACATAACTGCAGTGCCTTCAAACGGAATCATCCTGCTGCTTTTTTTTCTTCCTCTTGGTGGCATTTTCGTTCTGCTGCAGTTCTTGAATTAGTCGCATTGATTGTGGGCCCCCCTTCCCATCTCCGCATCACGTGCAGAAGAGATTTCCCAGCAGCCTGTAGGTGGAGATCAAGCTCCATCTATCACAGCAAAGCCGAATCCAATACATTTGAGGAGACTGGCAGGTCAAAGCCTCAAAGGCTTCTTTACAAAGCAGAATCTGAGATCCCTGTCCGCCCATGTCTGTGCAAATGGAATAATTACAGCCCTAACTTTATCTCGCCGCAGTGTGCGGCGATCACCACAAACTTGTCCTGAAGGAGGAAGAGATTGCTTTCTTCTGAAGCAGTTGAGCTGTACAGACTTGGTTGTAATTATTTTATTGTGGTGTGTTTCCTTTGTCAAACATGCTAATCATGCTTGATGTGAGGTGCACAAAAATTCAGTATTTGTTAGAGGCATCATTCGTATCCCAACATGAATCCCTCTCAACATCCACTGACATGTTTAACAGCCCCTTCAAGAGCTTTTTGCTTGTTACAGCCACTCTGTTGTCTGCTGTCATGTGTTAAGCAGAAAATGGGTTTGTGCTTTGTGTAAGACAACACTTTACATTGTAATCATGTGACAGCTTTCAAACTCTGAAACATCTTGGTTCAGCAAATCTGACAGTTAACTTCATAAATCCTAGAAAAAGTCCACATTTCCATGTATGTTTGCAGACAGCCATACATATTCTTTTATGAAGCATAATCTTTTTACAGTCTCTTGACATTTTAGTTATGTTATAATTATATAGTAAATGTTTTATAAAATAATAATAATAATATTTACAGCAATAATACATATTTATATAAATAATATATATTTTTATATTTATATTTATGTATAAACCTGCTATAGATAGATAGA